TGCAGTGTGACCATTGCCTCATTGGGGTATATTTTCTTTTTCTTTCTCTGGTGAGTGCACATGCCTCTGGCAATTAAAAAAAAAGAAGTATGTTAACTGCATTTAAAATTTATTCTGAGGCATAGCAGAAGCATTTGACTAAAGCTATCAATGAGCCCAGCAGATTATACTTACTGAGTTCACACTTCATGAAGGACACATGAGGGTCAGTGGCACTGAGGAGAGTCATAGCCATGAGGTGATTTGAATGGACTTTGGTACAGTTGAGAGTTGACCTGCAGGCTGTGGGCAGGCTCCCCTCTTATAGTGTAGCCATGAGGCAGAGGACAAAAGACTCAGAACAGGACTGGAGCTCAGAAATCCAAAGCCTTATCTTGGTTCCATGTTCCACATTTTCTGCTATGTTGGGGCCCTCGAAGCTGGAGTCACAGAGGCTTCCAGTGGTGATGGCAAGGTCAGACCTGTCTGTGTTAATTGCACTGGCATGAGGGCAGGTTCTCAACCTTGCTTCATAAACAAAGGGTTAAGTCCTGTTGTGGGGGCTCACTCTGCATCACAGAGGTCAGCTACAACCCTGGCTCCATTCACTTGAGGTCAGGAGCACTTTCCCCATGGTGATGAACAGTGATGTCTCCCATTATTGCCAGATGTCCCCTGGGTGCAGAATCCCTGCCTGTGACAAATGTGTGGGGACTTTGTAGTCCCCTCTGGCCTCCTGCTACAGCACATGTACCCACGGCTGCTGCCATCTTCAGCTGGTCCTCAATGCTGGGGGCCGTGTAACTTGTCTTTCTTTACTTGAGCTGTTTCTTCTATAGCAATTGTCTTTCTTTCTAGTCTGTTTGCAAAACTCGTTCTAGTCCTACAACCTTGGGACTCTCAGGATTGACTTTACAGACACCTCCCTGATCTGCCCAGACATAATCAGTGGCTTCTTCCCTTGTACATGACACTATCATCCTGCAAGGGCAGCCTGATGGTGTTCTCCTGCAACAGGAAACAGGTTGTGTGCCATTTCACCCATGGGCAATGAACCCTACAAGAAGAACATTCAAGGGCTCCCAGGTACTAAGTGTGAGGATCTGTCTATGCTGAAGACTGAGCAGGCTTCTAAGGCAGCAACAGCTCAGTGGAGACACAACCATGAGTAGCTATTTGGACAAACAACCTGGGATTGTGGAGACAATCTGCTCCTGCAGGAGTGACTGATTTGCACTCGTGTAGAAAATTATTAAGCACCTGATATGTCCCACATTCCATATGAGTGTGGATATGAAGGAGGCATGGGCCTTAAACCTGAAGAACTCATGTGAAGTGGAACTGGCCTTATCCTGCTGTGCCTTGTGCTCACGCTGGCT